TTTGTTGAAATCATAAATGGAAAATGTAACCTCAGAATTAGAAACCTTGAAATGTTTTTTGAAATAAATTTTCCTTAAAAACACCTTAGAAATATTTATAAGTAACATTAAGTATGATGCTTAAGTATGATATACATACACACACTCAGTGAAAAGGAAATTTATCAAACATATTACAATTTTGAAATAATCACACAATTATCACAATTTATTCTACTGTGATTACAAACCTTAACCCATTTTTCCAAATTATTACTATGCCATTTGTAAATCTTCTTAATGGAGTGAAGTTTCATATAATAACTCTTTGGTTAACTGAGGAATTCTCATAAAAAAGAAGTTATTTCTAAAAGACACTTAGTACTTGGTCAGGCAATAGCAAATATATCGCTCACAAAGATATTTGATATTTTAACTATATATTTTAATTATTCAAATCTCAGAAAGAAGGATGAGGGGATTGTAGAAAAAAAGGGGGGGGGACTAGGAGGAGGATGAGAAGAAAGAAAATAGTAGTTTTAATTACATAATGAAGTACTGCAATTGCTCCTAAAATAATAATGTAGCCTTCCACCAGAGGGCAACATTTGCAAGATATTTAAATGGTCTTGCCTAAGTATTTCTTCACACAAGGTCAAAAACAAATGAAAGGCAATTACAGTGCTGTTAGGTAATATCTTATGTGACTATCAAAAAATACTATGAAGAATTATTTAAACAATTGCATATAAAACTTAACCTCTACTCATGGTAAAACGAACAATAAATTTACTCTTCTTTAAACATATAAGAAGATTGAACTTTGAGAAAAGAACACATTTCTCTATTATATTATTGGGAATTTTCTCAGTTCATTACTAACCATTTAGAAAATGGTTATTACCATATACAATAAGAAAATAATGGAGTAAAAGAAACAAAGAAAACATGATATTACATCAATGAAGAAATTAATGAAAAAGTGACAGAATTTTACAAGTGGAAGCAATGATAGAGATCGCTTACTAAAAGCATTAATTTGTACGGATTAGGAAACTGACATTTATTAAAGTTAAGTGAATCAAAGTCACAGGGATGATAATCAGCAAATTCAGGACCCAAATCCAGGTCAGCAGATTTCACATTTCATACTCTCTACTGCTGATATTCAAAGTGCGATCCATGGGCAAGCGGCCCTGGAAACTTATTAAAATTGCTGAATCTTGGGCTCCACTGTGGATCTGATGAATCGGAATCTGTATTTTTAACAAGATTTTTAAATGGTGAGAAACTACTCAACACATGCTGCTTCTTCATTGCTGGTTTCATGACTTTAGGCAATTCATTAAAATTCATTTTCCTCCTCAATAAAATTAGACTGAAACTAGTTTATTTTGAAGAATAATTGCAAGGAATAAATGAAATCATGTAAGTGAAAGTCACTTGAAAGTGTTAATATGATACACATATTAGTTATAGTCAGTGAAACCTCTCCTTTTATTTTTAAGAGTGCATGGCAAGAGCCTTCAGCTGGCTTGGCTCAGTGGGTAGTGTCAGCCTGCAGATTGAAGGGTCCTGGGTTCTATTCCAGTTAAGGGCACATATCTTGGTTTCAAGCTTGATCCCCCAGCCCTGGCCCCGGCATCTGCAAGAGGCATTAAATCGATGTGTCACTCTCATATTTGTTTCTCCCTGTCTCCCTCTCACTTCCACTATTTCTAAAAGCAATGGAAACATATCCTCCAGTAAAGATTAAGAACAACAACAAAAAGAGTGCTTGGGAAGAAGGGATAATTCTCCTATAGGAAGAGGTGACTAATAATTCAAATAAAAGCACTGTTAAAATTGAATGGAAGATATTAGGGATAAGAGAGAGTGTCCAGAGAAGAAAAGGCTTTTTCAGTATCACTATATAATACCATATGTATAGCTACTAATATTTCCTTACATAAAGATAAATCTGATGAACTTAAAATCACAAAAGTACATGTTCAATGTTTGGATTTTGGAACCACAGTTGAAGAAAATTTGTTGGGTTGGTAAGCAATGTCTTAATATATGTCTTTTATATCAAGAGTAGCTATTAATTTAAGAATAGGCTAAATGGCATTCTTTGGTCTCAGGTGGCCTAGTAGCAATTCTTGTAATTTTCCACATACAACATTTTCCATTTGTTTGTGACTTTGCTTAAGATGTCCCTTCTGGTGGGGATACTTTCCAAATACCATCACCTATCCCCACTCAGTTCCACAAGGCTGCCACCATCTTCCTAGGGTTAGATTTCTCTTAAGACAGACAAGGAAACATCACCTCCTAAAATCTTTCCTGTGTACTTTCACTCCAAGCCTGGGTTTCTTGTCCAATTTTATCCATAGCTATTTGTAATTTGTCTGTTTCCCTTGTATCTTATGAAATCTTTCAGAGGACATTCTCAGAATCTAGTGCAATTCTAGGCACTAAATGAATATTTTCAGAATGAATACATCAATATCAGCAGTAATTCTTATTCAAACACTCACCCAGTTACTCAGAGAATGGAGGAATGATCCAGATGACATTTACTTCAATAAAGGTGAATGTAATTATTTTACTCTAGAAACAATTCTTTCATGCTGGACTTGTATTGTTTGGTGCCCTGTGAGCTACATATAGTGCAGGCTTAGCAATTGGGTGGTTTAGATCTCTATTTTTTTTATCACCATCTAAGCTTCACATATATTTAACATCTATTTTTTTTTTGCATAACTTTCCAGAATTTCAAAATCATGGATGTCCCTAAAATCAATTAAGGACATGTAATAAATTTGGTCACTAATGATTTGGAAAACATATAATTTGTAAAGCACCTAGATGAGTCATGTCCTGACTAGCTTGAATCTTTTGTTTGGAAGGAGGTAGTTTAGTGTTGGGTTGGGGTTTTTTCCTCCTCATTCTTGATCACCTTTGGGTATAGATACTATTTCCAGGCATTCCAGGGGTTTAGAGTTATAATTTCTTATTTTATAGAAAATATATATTTAATACATATGTATATGATAACTATCAAACAAATTAATGGTAGAGAGTATTGGCTATTTTTGACATTGCTTTTCAGCTATCCAATCTGTGTATTCATATCCATTGTATTATTTGGCCTATTCAGGGAACATTCTTCCATGATTCTGTGTTTAGATTTTTACTTCTGAGATTTGGTCTCAGGATTCCTAAGAAAAATCTACTCCCCCTGTTGATTTAAATAAAATGCAAAGATTTCAACCTTGAGAGTGTGGTTTAAGGACAAACTGTTTTATAATCGTTTGTCTGAATTGCATCTAAGAGGATTGTGATTCATGTCAAATGCATTAATAATTAACATCAAGTTAGCATAGTTTTCTTGCTTTACTTAATGAAATAAATTCATTGATACTCTACCTATATATGTGAAATCAAGTCTTACATGAACTTCTATAATTCTACTTAGGAGAAAATGAGACAAAAATAATATTTTAAAGGAGTAATTTAAAATAAATCTTGAAAATATCATCAGAATATCATCAGTAATTATTTATTGACAAGCACAATGTATGGCCACAAATTTCATCAGTATATTGATATCTCAGTAGTGTGCTGTGAATTAAGTGAAGAATAATAAAATTCCAAGGAATATATATTAAACACCTTTTATTTAACCAAGGTCATTGAGGTTGCAGGTGTTTTTTCTTTTTCTTTCTCTCTTTTTCCTTTCTCTCTTTTTTCTCTCCCTCCCACTTCTCCCTCCCTCTCCCTTCCTTCCTTCCTTCCTCCCTCCCTCCCTCCTTCCCTCCCTTCCTTCCTTCCTTCCTTCCTTCCTTCCTTCCTTCCTTCCTTCCTTCCTTCCTTCATTCCTTCCAGGGGTTAAACCAAAAAGCATGAGCATCTGGGATCCCAGGTGCCCCCAGAATACCACAGACTTAAGTAAAAATACATTGTTATCTTCCTTCCTTACAATTCATTTGTCAACCATGCTGAGCAAAATGTAGGAGATTAGAACAGTCACTTGTCAATTTTTTATAGTCTTCCTCCCTTGCAGCGCCAAATGCACCATTCTCTCTGCAAACTCGGGCGATGATGACATCTTTCCACTTGGTCTCCATAGCATCCATGTCTGAAGATCCCCAGGAGGCTTCTTGTTCCGGGCGATCCGCCCAGCTCCCCTAGAAAGTTGGAGATCTGGTCAGCCTAAAAGAAGCTTCCCCATTTCCTGGAACTCTGTCCGTGGTGCTGAAACATCTGACCAGCTGCGCCCCTGAAGGCGCAGCGAAGGAGGAGCAGTCAGCTTGACTGGAGGGAATAAAATCTTCCCTGAAACTGCCCAAATCAGAACTGTGCGTCTGTTATTTACTCACGTCCTCAAACGGCAGCGAGCTTTCTCCATCTTAATTCGACTCTACCGCAGAGCAGAGTTGCGCAGGTGTGATGGGAGGAGATCATTGGAAGGAGACAAAACGAATAGCAGCATTGCTCACCTGAGACCTAAGATGCTCCCATGAGTTTTGGAAGCGCTGTGCTCCGCATAGCAAATACACATATTTTTTACAAAATGCTTTTATGTTCCCTTTGTCCTTAACACAAGGGTTCTGTTATATTTCCACCCTTCTGATTAAAAAGCCAGAAGATTGGACAGCAATAAGGCTTCAGCACCAGGAATTCAAATTGTTTTTCAGTGGACTGACTTCCAGGACAAGAACTCATCAGCGCCCGCCCAAATACCATGCGCCCTTTGCCACCGGAACCTCCCCTTCCAATGAGACTTTCTGATTGTGTCTACCAACTCTCCTATTAGGAAACCCGTGGGTTGCATGCAGCTAGCTATTCTGTTGTATTCTGTTCTCACTCTCCCTCCCCTTGCTCACTGGCACTCTTGCTGGAGGCACAGCAATACCATTCCGCTGAGAAGAAAAACCCCAACCACCTTAAGGGGTTAAGACAATATGCGCAATTCTCGCCTTCTATAGCGATCACTACTTAAATCTGGCAAGAGCCCGACACCAGTCTTTGCAAGAATGGAATCCGTAAAACAAAGGGTTTTGACCCCCGGAAAAGAGGGGCTAAAGAATTTTGCTGGAAAATCCCTCGGCCAGATCTACAGGTAAGAGGAAAGCAAACCCATATTTGCCTGGGGCTCTGCATGCAAAAAATCTGCAGGGCTATTTCCACAAACCGCGTTGCTTAGGTTGCTTAGAGAGATTGTAATATGATCGGAAAGTCTTTTTTTCTTGCTCATTGATGGATCGGGGCTGCTCTGGAAACCTGCTTGTTTATTCAGGAATGTTGCACTAAATGAACCTGTCTGCTTTGTGCATGTGTGTGTGATTTTTGTTTCCGTACCTGCAGATTCTCATCCTTTCCTGCCATGATTTAGCTATCCTCTTTACAATTGAAAAATGACCAGTACCTGTTAAAAAAACAAAAACAAAACCCCTTTCTTTTGGTGCTTATAGTGACACCAAATTAATTTTTTATCCAGACAAATGAATAAAAAAATACAATCCTTTAAAAATGAATCAAGAAATTTCAAAGGGTAATGGCAAAAAAAAAAACAAAACCGAAATTTAGATCTTAGCTTTAAAACCACTTGAGTAGCGAATCCCCCAGTAGAATCATCCTTCTTTAAAGAAGGAAGAAGAATCAAAACATATCAATAATTGATAGCGAAAGCAGTTCTTCTCTCTGAACCCAGAACAATGTATATGCATATATTTATTATTTGACCTCTCATAGAAGTCTATTTCTTGTATGGGAAAGGTCATATTACTTATAAGAAAAACCAAAATAATAACCAGTTAAACGACTTTGAAAGTGCTGGAAATTTTTTTAAAAATAATGTCATCCTCCCTACAATCATTGCACTAATTATGCTGTCAATTCCACCACTTTGTAGCCTTTCAAGATGTATAATGACTACACCCTTTCTTAATATGAGCCAAATCAAGAAGAGAGGGCAGAAATAAAAGGATAAACGAGTTCGAGAGAGTGCTAATTTTCACATTTGGGCAACTGAAGCCTTTGGGAATGAATGGGAAATGTAAAGAAATTGACCAACGTGCCTCCCCATTTTCCAAATCCCTTTGGTTCTGGTGGGCTTCACGCAGGCTCGGTCATGCACCTATGCGGCAGTGCATACCGCAAGGGCCCTGCAGTCCCGAAGCTGCCTGGGAAAGAGCTGTTCTTCCCCAGCCCAACTGCCATCAGGTGGAGAGGTCAGGTGCAGAGTTGGACTTTGCAATATGAGTATAGAAAGCCAATGTGGAATAAGTAAAAATAAAATCTCATTCGTTCCCTTTTCCTCTCCCTGCATGTATTGCCCCATGTTCTACAATTGGGATTGGACTTTAGGAATGAGCAGTCACAGAGCCAAGGATACGTTAGTGACCTATTTCCAGGTGTTACAGAATTTGGAAGTATGACATTTCCCCTCCCCCCCCCCCAGCCTCAAATTGCTTGACAGCTATCTCCCAAGCCATGCATTCTTGGAATTGATATTAAAATTTCATTTGCTTTGCCCGTGTGTATGAAAAAATTGTGTCCGGATATATCATTGAAAGGGCGGGCGCATAAAAAGCCATTATATGGTAGCTGGGAAATATCTGCCCATTTTAAACAGGGAGGCTCTTTGTTTAAATATTGAGAGTATTCACCTCAAGGGTCCATGGCAATGTCACCCTTCACTTGCTTTTTTAAAAATGCATAACAGAGATTTCACAGTTAAATGGTGGACTAGAACAACATTATGGGCTTTTAGTAAAACCTTTCTGTCGCTCCTCCGCTTTTCTCTACCCCCTTCCCCCAAGGACAAAAGCCTGAAAGGAATTAGGCCAGTGAGATCTGGTGAGATGCAATGCTAATTTAAAAAAGAAAGAAAAGAAAAGAAACCAAAACAAAAACTAAATGTGAGACCTTCTACCTGGGTGTGGTACACCCTACCAGAGTTGATTGGGGGGCGCGTTTGTATACCTGGGATTTGCATTTCAAACCTTTGGAAATGGGCCGGGACATTTTTTTTTTTTTTTTTTTGCGGGTGTTTGTAACAGAGATAGTAATGACGCAAGGTTGTGAAGAATTAATTATTCATGTTCTGGCAGCAGAAGGCTTAGGTGCCGGCCATATGTTGCGGAGGCCTTTGTTTCCAACTCCAGGAACGGGGGGAAAAGACGTGTAACCTGGAGAGAAAACACTAAATTGGCTCCGGAGGAAGGGGCCCGAGAGCGCGAGGCTCATTCACAGACCACGGCCGCGTGGGCCCCGCACTGGAGAGGCCTCATTCCCCGGAGGCCCCGGCTCCTTTGTGGGCGGGATCGCGGTCTCCCCACCCTGGACAGCTTTAACTTGCCTGGGAAAGAAGGGGTAGGACGCGTGCAGAGCCTCGGCTGGGCCGGCCCGCAGCTGGACAGCTGGATTAAAAAAAAAAATCCCGGTGAAAGCACTGCGGCGGCTCACACAGTTGCTCAGAAGGCGCTCAGAAGGCGCTTTTGGGGTGATCCTCATAAACTGCAGACCCCGCAAAAAAGTTAGGCCAAACAAGTGGCTTGTGCACGTGAATCAAGGTGTTGCCAAGTAGCTCCTGTGGGGAAAAGGGGCCTGGAGCCCTAGGCCAGCGGTGCTAACCTCGAAGAAATGCTGCCGGGGGAGGGGACTGGCAGAGGCTGGAGAGTCAGGAGCATCCTCATCCTGGAGCGATGGGAGGTGGGTCAGTGCCGCTCCACTCAGCCCTGCCAGGCCCTGGGATTTGGGGACAGGAAGAAGGGCGTCTGGGGTGCCTAACCTGAGGTGTCCTTGCCTCCCCGGTCCCCTGCTCTGCCTGACAGGGTTCTGGAGAAGAAGCAGGATACCAGCGGGGAGACCATCGAGCTGACGGAGGATGGGAAGCCCCTGGAGGTGCCCGAGAAGAAGGCGCCATTGTGCGACTGCACGTGCTTTGGCCTGCCGCGCCGCTACATCATCGCCATCATGAGCGGCCTGGGCTTCTGCATCTCCTTCGGCATCCGCTGCAACCTGGGCGTGGCCATCGTGGACATGGTCAACAACAGCACCATCCACCGAGGGGGCAAGGTCATCAAGGAGGTGGGCGACAGCTGGCCAGTGGCTGCGCTAAGCCACCTCCCCTGTGAGAGCCCGGTTACCCCACCCAACACACACACTGAGTGAGGAAGACCTGGGTGCCCCCTGGGGTCCTTCTGACACTGCCTTCCCAAGGTGGAAAGCTCTGACATCATCCTCACCTGCCTTTTTTGCTTCTGAAGCAAGTAGCTTCTGCCCTCTTGGCCTTCCTCTTCTCACCTGCAACATGGAAAGCCGCGTGTAGCTCTCCAGGCGTTTTAAAAAATTATTTTAATTAATTAATTTATTTTAGCTCACTAGTTTTTTGAGAAGAGTAACCTCACACAAGAAGTTGCAGCTTTGTCATGCCGGCAGACCCTAAATCGAAGTGTTTTTCTTTTACTCTAAGGAATGAAACAGCATGTTAGCTATCATTTCCCGCTGAATTTCTTCAAACATTTTTAATAATGAAAATGAAACAAAACCGAAAAATAAATCAACTCAACCTAGCTGTGGGGGTGGGGGGAGTAGGGAAGTGTACCCCAGGGCATCTTGGGGTCTCTGGAGCCTCGTCCTCTGCTCTTACAATGTGTGTTGAGTGACCTCTAGGAAGAGAAGGGTCTATGTCAAGGTCGCGGAAGCCGTTGGGTCTGCATTTCCAGTTTCAGAATTTGAGGGACCATTGGCCAGGCCAGGGTTGGGAGGATTAGTTTAGCACTAGCTTTGGAGGGGAAGCTGCAAAGGCTGACAGGCCCAGGGGATTCCAGGAGAGCCTGCCAAGTGCGCTTGGTTTCAGCATTTTATTCCGAGGGAGAAAGGGGGCCCCAATAGCTCAGGCGGAAGACGTGCGCTCTCCCTCCCCTTTTCCAATGCAGGCATCTACCCAGGCTGGTGAAGGCAGTTAGGGCCTGACCTTCAGTGCACCCTTCTGGGCTCTCGTGACCAGCCCTGAGCAGCACCTCCCTCTCCGCTGACTCCCCAAATCCCCAGGGCCACTCTTAGTCCTGTCTGCCCAGGCCGATCCCCATTGTTTTGTTTGGGACCATCCTCCTCCTGACTCCTCCAACCGGCCTCCGCACCTCGCACCTCCCACGCACCCCAAGTTCCCCAATTCCCTTCCCCACAATTTCCTGGATTGAATCCCTTTCTCCAAGCCACCCCACTCCCCCACTCCCGTCTGCACTGGCTGGCGGCGGGCAATAAATGCGCCCAGGCAGGGACTCTATCCCCAGCAAGCTAAGGGAACCTCTTCCTGGGAAGTTCGAATTTCCCAATCTGGAGCCCTAAACTTCCCTCACTCGCTCGGGAGATTGCGCCCACCTAACTCGGTTCCCAGAGCAAAGTTAGGGGGTCTAGCTTTTCCACTGATCACGATACAATTCCAATGAGCACGGGTTTCCAGTTACAAGCGACATTTCCTCTCTATAAGGTTTTGGTTCTGTTTTGTTAAGAAACGAAATTAAGTCCCCCACTAGCCCCGAATGCAGGGAGTGCCCTGGGAATGGGGTCTCTTTGGCCGGAGAAACCACTGAAAGTGAACCTTGGCCCCAGGCGCTGACTCTGCCCTCTCCCCTCCACCCCAGTTTGTAAATTAAAATTTTAAAATATATCTTATTGATTTTTTACAGAGAGGAAGAGAGAGGGATAGAAAGCTAGAAACATCGATGAGAGAGAACATCTATCAGCTGCCTCCTGCACACCCCTTACTGGGGATGTGCCCACAACCAAGGTACATGCCCTTGCCCGGAATGGAACCTGGGACCTTTTAGTCCGCAGGCCGACGCTCTATCCACTGAGCCAAACCGGTTTCGGCTGTAAATTAAATTTTATTATTTTCCCCCCTATTCTCATAGAAAGCTAAATTCAACTGGGACCCGGAAACCGTGGGGATGATCCACGGGTCCTTCTTTTGGGGCTACATCATCACACAGATTCCCGGCGGCTACATCGCGTCTCGGCTGGCGGCCAACAGGTAACACGTGCGCTGCGGCCGGACTCGGCTCGGGGTCCTGGCGGTGGGACCCAGAGATGGGCAGCGGGGACTCGGGGGGCAGGGAACACCGCCCCCCGGGAGCTGGAAACTCCTGGGCCAGGTCTCCCAATTCCTTCGCACCCCCTTCTCGGAGCAGGAATTGCTGGGGCCTCCTTCCAGGATAAGGCGCCCTAAAGGATTTGGGGTCTCCGGGGAGGGCGCACGTCGTCGCTTCCTCTGCGCCCTGTCTGAATCCGCCTTCGCAAAATAGTGGACGTGCCTTAAGGCCTGGAAGGAGCCGCGGCCTGGTGGCGAGCAGACCGAGCTGGGGTGGCGAGGCCAGATGCACACAGGGGTGGGGGCGTCTCGTGCCGAGCTCCCCTCTCCCCCCGCTAGTCCTCTGGGTGCCCCGGCTCCTTTCGGCGCTGACCTTCCCGGCAGGGTGGTGGAGAGCCCGGACCAGGCGCTCGCCCAGATGGGGCTCTGGGTCTGGAGGATTTGTTTCTATGGAGGCGGGAGGGATTGCAGGCCCCGGGGAGGCGGGCTGGGGGAAGGGTCCACCTGTTAATGAGCTCCGCTGAGCTGGGGCGGGGTGGAGGCGGCGCCACCTGCGGCCTCAGGCAGGGCTGCTGTGGGGCGGTGGCTGCGAGCCCAGGCTGCGAGTCAGCCCCCAGGATTGCGCCCAGCGCCATCCAGAGAGGCACCCCGAATCTGCCGGGGCCTAGGAACTGGTTGGGTAGGGGTATCAAAGAATACAACCACTCAAGGGTGAGAGACGGCTTCATTGACCTCGTTGTGTGAGTTATGGCAAATAAAACTAAGTGCTCTTTATATCTGAATTGTTGAACTGAAAAAGAATACTCGTTCTTCCAGGTAATGCTGCACAGAGACCCCAAATAAAGACTTTGGGTCTTTCATCAGACCCTGTACCTTCGACTTCTCCCCTCGTGCCCCCCAAAAGGTGGCAAGTAATCTAGAATTGGCACCTCTCTAATCTGAGCTCCTCTATTTTTGTAAATTGGTCCCTTGTCATCTCTCAGTGAAATATCCCAGGCCACGTTCAGTACTTTTTATTTTTATTTTATTTATTTATTTATCTTTACCTACAGTACCATTTCCAGAGGTGTCTTTCTTCCCAAGATTTCCCAGTCGTTTCCAAGGCCCAGGATCCTTCTTGGAAATTTATGTTAGGCTTAATGATTCTAGAGTGAATATTTTGGGGCAATCCTTCAAAATGTTAAGAGGAGAATGCAATCCATTAAGAATAGTGCCCTTTGAATATTGTTTTTACTCGACATTATGGATGGCTTGTACTTAGACCCAACAAGAGACATTCTTAAAAAAAAAAAAAAAAGGAATCAGTTTAAAATGAAAGGCATTAACTGTGTAGAGGACTCGATTTTATAATTGGGATAAATCAGATAAAAATTATATTAGAAAAAGCTAAGGAAATATTCCCTTAAACATTACTGGTAATGAACTTGTTACATTCTTGGCTTTCATGTCCCTAACATGTTGTGTTTTGAATCTTTATTTTTTTTCCTATAAAATATTTTCTAAAACAAACTAAACTTCCCTAGAAAGATACTCCAAATACATACATGAAATATTTTGACTTCAGGGGATAAATATACAAAAAATTCACCAAAACCCAAAAATGACACAGGGGACTCAATGTGATGTGAAATGAAAATAGAAAGGCTGTGCCTGTGTTTTCAGAGTCAAAGCCTCCAGCTTGGCAAATGTTACAATGTTAGCATTTTTCTGCCAAGAAAACAGCACCAGGGATGTCCCAGCTTTCCAGGTTGTAAGACTGGGAGGCCAATAAATAGGTTTTTCTATTAGTTTTTGTCATTATTGCTTTTTTTTTTTTTCAAGCTCATTGCTAGCATTTGTGTTATGTTTAGCAAAGAACTAATACTGACTCAGGTTCTAATTTATTTGGTACATTTTCCATAAAGGGAATTTTTTTGAATTTTAAAAATTTTATTTGGATCTGTTACACCTTACCTTTCAATGGATCTTAAAGGGAGAGGAACTTAATATTTTCACACACAGTGTTTTGTGTTCTACAAGACTGAGAAAACTAAGTTAAAATTCATTGTAAAATATTATGAATTTATGGAAAATCATTGACTAGCTCTTCATTATATCTTAGGATTTTGAGATCTTTGCTACATTTAAAAAATATAACAAAACATTACAAATATAGTTGAAGCTTCCTGTGAAAGCATGTTTTAAAAATATGTAACATTTCATTTTCTAATTATAAAATTATCACATGCTAAACAAAAATATCTAAAAAAAGAATCACCTATTAACTGAGAGTCACCTATTAACATTTTGGTCACTATTTAATTAGTCTTATACCTGCTACATGGAATTTAATCTTAGAAGGGTTTTGTTTTAACACAAAATCTGAGATTTTTAGAATTGGGTAGAAAAGTGTATGTTTTCTATTATAATCACCTTCAAATATAGTAAAAACAACACAGCAAGACCAGTTTTCCACCTACACGTATGGATGCCCATTCAAATAAGATTCTCCCTATAGATCATTTAATAATAGAATAAAATTCCCCTTGGGTGGGATACTGGGGACAGATGCCTTTCCCTCCAGGAATAAAAGAAGCTTGCTTTGGAAAATATTTGCCATTACCGTGATGGGTGGAACTAGAATAGAGGAACAGAGGTGTGTGGAGACAGCACCTCAAGAGAGAAGGGCTCCTGGTTACACTTCCAGGCAGTTCTCAATGAAAAACAAACAGCAGTGGTTTGGTGCTTCTATTTTAAGGATGAAGCAAAAGGAGCCCCTAATGGACAGAATACAGGTTCTTGGTTCTCCTTTCTAGTCAAATTCTAAGAATTCTTGCTTTCCAGCTCATGGAGAGGAGGAAATGAGAGAGTCCTGGGAAGAGAAAACTCAATTCCCAAGAGAAAACTCAAAAATGCATCATTTTTTTCCTTTGTCTTTCCTTAAAGGGCTATTGTACATCCTGGTCTGGAGATTTTACTCACCTCCATGGAGGGCCTTAGGGTGGGGAATCAAAGAAAGACTCCTCACAAGATCTGTACTGTTTTCAGATGAGAACATATTTAACACCGTGATTGAAAGGTGTTGGGGGCTATTAACTTTGCCTTTAAACAATGCAGCATGGAGCTTCCAGTGATCCAGGTATTTACAAATGGGAAATGGCTAAGGACTACTTGTACCTTGCATTGAGAGAGTGAGGAGGTACCTTACTGAGAAAATATTTAATGTGAGAGACAACAGGATTTTGCAGTGGGCATAATCATAGAAGGTCAGAATTACCAAAGGAAGTTTGGCCAACATGACATTTCTAATGGATGATAGTATACACAGATTATACTTGCCTCTTTATTCAAGGTGGCAATATTACTGAAACTCTACGTCAAAATTGCCCCTAATCTGCTCCTGTCCTCATTTCCCAGTCCTGCTTTAGCATTTTACATAGCACTCACTGCCACTTGCCATTCCAATATTTTACTTATTTTTCTCTTTAATATCTGCCTTTCTCCAATAAAATGTAAGTAAGCTTCATAACAAAGCAAATGTTTTTGTCCATGTTGTTTTTACTGCTCTATACATAACATCTCAGAGAATGTCTGGCCCACGATAGATCTTGTTGATAAATAAAAGGAACATCACAACAAAATGTTTGTGGCTTAAAAAGAAAAAGGATTATGGCATAGTGGTTAGGATATAGATTCTAAAGCTAATTGTATAAGTTCAGATTCCTAAATATGCTATTTAATAACTGAATGGCATTGCTCATTGTTTAACCTCTTTGAGCCTCAGTTTCTGTTTCTATAAAAGGGAACTAACCAAAATATCTACCTGATATGGTTGGTTATACTGACAGCTAAATAAGAGAACATGTGTGAAATTCTTACTGGCACTTAATAATTGTTTGCTGTTGTCATTCATTATTAATAAAATCTTAAATCCAAAAAAGATATTAAAGAAAAAAAGCTCTGATGAACATTCAGCATTACTTGTGTTTAAATTTGCCTTAAGTGTTAGTGATGCAAAGGATTATTTTTATTGTGATAAAAATGCCTCTTTTCAGGTCAGATTTCTGCCTTTAAAGTTGTTTTCCTTTACACATTATTAATATCATTGTTCACTGGAAATGTCATGTCTCATAAATAACTGTCCTAAAAAATATCTCCAGCCCAGGGTATTGAGAGTGTTAGTACTTCAGTGCATGCAAGGTCTGAATTCTAGCCAGGCATTATAAATGAACTCAGAAATCCACAAGCTGGAAGTTAAACTCTTTGTTGAAAACTACTATTTTTTTTCTCTTGCCCCGTTCTTTATTTAAAGAAGATTCAGTTCCTAGTGCAAGATTTTGTCTTTCAGGGTATCTCTTGGGTTTCTAACTTGAATTTTGCTTTAAAAAAATCATTCTTTATTTGAAGAGACTGAGGGTTGCATATGTCTGTCCCATAGAGTGTACTTGCTGTACCAAAAAGAACCCATATGAGAGCTGGACAGGACTCATCGAATCCAATCCTCACATTTTACAGACCAGGAAAGGACATAGAGCATCAGGGAGTATGGGATGGGCCCAAGGACAGGAGAGATTGAGACTAAAACTCAGATGTCCCATAGTATATGACCTACAGCCACATCTTTGAAATTGAACATCTCTGCCTGATAGTATGGACTTCATCTCAAAGTTTACTTTCAGCAGCAGGCTGAACCATCTGTTCTCTGGATCAGTGCCTACAATCTATCATGTCCCAAATCCTGGACAGAAATCCATGAATTAGAGAAAGAAGCTTTTAGTGGGCACACGAGATCCTTAGATTTTTTTGTGGCAGGAGAAACATTCTAGTATAGTATTTGTGTGTGTGTGTGTGTGTGTGTGTGTGTGTGTGTGTGTGTGTGCTGGCTCCCAAACTATTGGGCCACAACATGAGTGATTCTGTTCTTCCCTCTACAAAAGGCAATATCCAAACTTGGTAATGACTTAAACAAAGAGTGTGATTATCTGGAGAGGAAAACACAGTATTTAGAGCTGTTCCTCCCTACTCAGCCCCTGTGGCAATTTGGGCTCCTAAAAGATTGTAGAGGTTCCAGCATGACTGGGAGAGGGGAGTAGTTTAGACCTTTTGTCAAAGCAGAAGGATTCTTCCTTGGGTTTTCAAATGGCCCAATTGAATTCATACTACTAATATAAAAGAGGGAAGAATTTATACTTAAACATGCACAGATTCAAATGGATGGGTTTAAAACTGTTTATTCGTGTGCATTTGCATTTGTAAAAAGGAAATTTGATATGTTTTAAGTAAATATTCTCACTAACAAAATTATGAAAAATTCCCCAATAATAGTGATTTTCAGAAAGAGGGAAACAAAGATACTTTAAACACAACGCCTTCATATTTTAAGCCCCAAAAGAAATGATTTTGCTGGAGCTATTCTTTTTTCTTCATAAAAATAAAACAATAAAAGTGTGTTTTACTTATTGGAAATCCTAAGTCTTATCAACAAACACACATGCACATTACAAATACACCCTATCTGCTTATCTATGTATTTATCTATCTATCTATCTATCATATATCTATTTCTATCATCTATCATCTTTTTCCCTCTGTACTTTTTACTTATTTTCTGCAACATTCAAGTAAATGGCAAGCTAGGGCTCCTTAACCTTTCCAGTGAGAAACATTTGCAATTTCCTTTTGTGTGAGAAAATAATTCAGACCATAAACATAAAGCCTGCTGCAAGGGACCACTATCCTGCTATGATGGAAAACAGCCTGTAGTCATTCAGTCTCTTAGGATCAGAGGTGACTATTTCTATCTCCCTCATCTAGCTGCCTTCCCATTGTGGGCCTATAGGTTAGATATCTAGGGCAATGCAGAAGAGGCCTTCCTTTTTCCGACAAAAAATATACCCTTTCCACAAGATGAATAGATGTGTGTGCAGGGAGAGGGAGAGGGGTCCCTTAGGGCTTGCAGGTGGTTTGCTGACATGAGCTTCTCTCAGCTTTTCTGGCCTTTCATTCTCCCCTCCTCTCACCCCTTACCAGCTCTAGCTTCCCCTGTGGCCACATCTTACAATGGCAGCCCCCAGAGGGGAGGGAGAGGAGAGTCAGGTGGGCAGCTGGTGGAATGATTTCCCCTCTACCATATGCCACTGTGGGGGCTGTCCAATTTCTCTGTCATGAGTGATGAAGTCATTTTTACAACTTAATGATGTACCAAGGGAGCCCAAGGGCTGGTGCGCTCGTGTAGCCCTTATTTAATAGGGGAGCGGGGGCATCAGATGTGACAAAGGGCGGTGCCTGAGCACGGATTTGATTAGACTAAATAGATTAAACAGCCTGAATCGCTTTATTCCTGCAGACGCTCCAGGAGAGGATTAGTGCCACACCTGGGGTACGGAACACTAGTTCCCTGTTAGTAACAAGCCACTGCCAAAATGGAGATTGATGGATTGATCCCAGGAAGATGGATATAATCCATAGAAGTGACAAGTCACCAGTGCTTCTGTCATCTCTTCCGGGCAAATCCTTGTGGGGTGGGCTTGATATGTGAAGGGGATTGTGGCTATGGCTCATCCGAAAAGGATATGACTGTGAATCCCACAGCTAACTCACTTTGGAACACACTGCAGGATTATCATCAGGCAGGGCATGACGCAGGTGTGCAACAGCAGCTTTTTCTTTTCCCAACATTTCTGTATCACAATACTATGTGGGTCTCAATTTTGGTAATCTCTTTAGTAACAGAGAGCCTCCTATACTGCACATTCACACACACACACACACACACACACACACACACACACACACACACACACACATTGCTCTCCTTTGTCTTGCAATGTGAAGTGATTTGGGGGGGGGAAGGGAGACTGGTGGAAGGAGAAATCTACATTTTTAATGAGCACTCATCGAATTCTAATGCAGCAGGCTTATAGATGACAGTTGGAAAGAATTCTTGGAAAGGGCTGAATGGAGAGGATGCATAACTCATATAAACACTTTCAGGAATCTTGTAGCATTATGTGGCTTTGGTTCTCTTTATCCTTAAAGCCCTGAGCAGTCCGTTTCACTGTTATCAATGATAATAAACAAAGTGGGATGGATGTTCAGAGAGACAGCACAAATTTGCCAGCACCCAGACAGCTCACTCATGCGACCAGAACTCCTGTGCCATTTGTCCTTTCCAACTTCATTCTTTCTGCTGCACAGGTACCACATCCAAACTCTTAGGAAAGTGGGAAGATGTGTCTGCCTCATTGGCCTTTGACAACACCAGGTTTAGCCAACGTGCCTCATAGACTCCCTCCTACTTCCTCTCAGCCCTAAAAGAGCCAAGGTGTTATGTGGATGGCATGTAAGAACATTTAGATTGTAGACTTAAGAGAGGTGAACATCCTTTTAATTCAAAAGGAATCAGTAAGGATTAAAATACTTTTAAAAGAGGTTCTTATAATAATTTTAGATTCTTAGTTTATAGGGCAGGTTCTGGGATTTTTGCATTTATTCTCTGAAAAATAAATTCATATTTGGCAGAAGTTTAACATCACTGGGTGCTGGCATTTTCATGGGAAGAGTTATTTCTAGGAATAGAAAGTTTCTATTTGGTGTCAAACAGTTAGGACATAAATTATGTTTTGACACAAACACAAAGATACCTATTCAGTGTCCAGAACAGAGGGAAATGGAGCAGGACTTTTACCTCCTGAGTCACCCTTTATCTCGCTGGAAAGAAACCTCTGAGAACAGAGGCTAGTAGGCTGCATTAAGTACACAAAAGTATTTGTCTCAGTCTATGTCTATGATTTATGGAAAAGGAGCTTATATTCTTCAACCCTTCCTAAAGTCATTATTCAAATCTCAGTAGCAGATGAATAGCAATCAAGGCTCTTTACAGAAGATCAAGCCTTCTGCAGTTACATTTCAACGTGCCTCTGGAAGAATCTGAGGTTCACTGAGGCAACCAGTTTTGACTGAGTACTAGTATGATAAAAGGCTCAATGTGTGATTTAAGAAAACTTGCATAGAACACATACTAAGCTCATTAGAGATAATATGTCACAAACATTCCATGCAAGAGGATATTTCTAAAAAATCACTCAGTTGGGAGATGTTTTTCTTGTTTTAGTATGAACATTAAGTGTTTTAAGTGATGAAATTGACTTTTTATTTGTAGATAGATAAAAGGTCAAGCATCATATTTTCAGCACTTTTTTCTTGAATTGTAATGGATATGTATGCATCTAGAGATGCTACTCAAACATCATCTCCCCACCTACCCACATTCAAAAAAGAAAACCAAAACAAAACTGAGAAAACTGAGACACAAATATTAAGTAAAAGTTATTTCAATTATAAAAATATGCGCTGCCCTAGCCGGTTTGGTTCAGTGGATAGAGCATTGGCCTTCCGGTCAAGGGCACATACCCAGTTGGCAAGATCAATCCCCAGTAGGAGGTGTGCAGGAGGGAACTGTCAATGATTCTCTCTCATCATTGATGTTTCTATCTCTCTCTCCCTCTCCCTTCTGCTCTGAAATCAATAAAAATATTTTAAAAAGTAAAAACCAAAACCAAAAACGTACTGTGGGATCTGATCATGTGATCTCTTGGGGTATTACAATATGATATCATTCATACAATTTTATGAATATAACTGATTTAAGGATGTTAAAAATACTTGTATAATGTGAGGCATTGCTCCATTTAGGCATTTATTATTTTCCAATAGCTCTTCAGTGAGTATCTGCTATATGACTGGCACTTAGAATTGGGGCTATAACTGTATCTGAAAACACACTCTACCCCTTAAGCAGCTTTCATTGTAGATGGAGATACAGACCAAAAATATATGCACTGATTCATTAAATATTTGCAGTTTGTAAATACATCAGCAAAGACAATGAATACAAGTAAGTATAACCAGTTTTATTAGATATTTCTTGTATTTCTAGCATTTTGAGTTAGTCCACAAATCTGTTTGCAAAGGCTCAAGCCAATCAAGTCCAGAATGTATTTTATTCTTTGAGAAAAAAAGCATTCTATTAAAATTGTTTGTGATTAACTTAACCAGAGAAATTTAGATCTATTAACTCCTTTTGTTTTTCAGGGTTTTTGGAGCTGCCATACTTCTCACCTCTACCCTAAATATGCTAATCCCATCAGCCGCCAGAGTGCATTATGGTTGTGTCATCTTTGTTAGGATATTGCAGGGACTTGTTGAGGTATGGAACTGCAGGATGACAGCATGCTAATGTTGCCATGTTATTAAGAATCAGCAATCTTCGTCTTGATCTACAAATAAATATGTCTTAGTTGGTTGTGTCTACATCTTGTAGAAAATTGAAAAGTTAGGCAATCAGATATTTTGTCTTTAAATGATGATAAATTACAACTGTGACTGCTTACTGCCCCTTCTCTAGAATTGAGTGGTATTAAAGAAATGTTTAGTGACTATTTCACTTAAAAAAAAAAACAAAACAATTCAGGCATTTTTTAAATGTGTTGGAATAAAAATTCTTGAGTGTATTCTTTGCTGACCATAACACTTAATTTTGGGAATTTTATACCAAATCTCTGTATTGGTTTTGAATCATTATTTGAGTTTTCACTAATGCATTTTATTGAATATATGTTTGGGGCATGTAACTCTAGTGACTGACTTTTGCTCCATCAGCTTACTGCCTTTGAAAAAAATGCATTTAAAAACTTGAGGTTGGCCTACCTTTTGCCCCTTCTCTTTCTATGTAATAGATGGGAATAGATAAGTCAGGTAAATATGAAGACACTGAAAACAATCTCCTCTCTCCAAAAACAAGGAAAGATGAATAGGATCAAAATAATAGAAATAATAGAAAAATAGAAAAAAGGAGAATTATAGTCATTCCAGGACCCTCGTTTGGATACCAAATTTCATGGATGAGCAAGTCCTTTAAAATGGTGTAGTCTTTGGGTATAATATGTGCACCGACCTGCTTTGTATTGTATACCATCTCTAAATTAAATATAGTATCTAATACAATGTAAATACTATGCAAATAGTTGTGACACTCTATTGTTTAGGGAATAATAACAAGAAAAACAAGTGTATACATTTTCGGTACAGACACAACTATGGTAGGCCCAACTACATAATACATGTCAGCAACAAATGTAGTATTTTTCCCCTAAAAATTTCAACCTGAGATTTGTTGCCTCTGCAGATGTAGAATTTGTGGCTGCAGAGGGCTGATTATACTTTAAGGGTCTTAAGTTCTAGACACTACTCTCAGGAACTGTGAACTTCAAGCTTTAACTTCCTTTGTATGGATTCCTTATATTAAGATTACTGAGTGTAATGCCTCACAGAAAGGTCTTCCAAATTTCTCAGACTATTCAGAATTCATATGAACTGAATAGTGTAAGATCTCCTTATTTTGCCTTGATCAGAAGAAAATTGAGGTAGAAATCAGACTTGACGGGTGGGGAGAATTTGAACAGGTCGCTAAAAAGAGGCCATGCCCCACCTGGTCTGGGCTGAAAGTTTTAAAATGGAATTTCAGGGAATCAGCAAAGTCTCATGAACAGCAACTTCCCCTTGTGCCCATTCTAAGGAAACTGTACCAGAGAAGGAATGTGTCTATTTTCCAATGACCCTGGATCCTAAATGGTGATATATATCTTCCTCCATCACAGGGTGTCACCTACCCAGCATGTCATGGAATATGGAGCAAATGGGCCCCTCCTCTAGAGAGAAGTAGATTGGCAACCACCTCCTTTTGTGGTAAATACTATGCACCAATGTAGTTATGGTCGGTGAAGGTTTAGGAACTGTTTGAATAAGGTTTTTAAATTAGTAAAGGGCACCTGAAAAACCAATGGGGGACTGCCTGTGTGTGTACATGAGGAAAGGTTTGGGACTGCCATTTCAATTTCTTGAATTCTTTTAAAAAATATATTTTATTGATTTTTTTACAGAGAGGAAGAGAGAGGGATAGAGAGTTAGATACATTGATGAGAGAGAATCATCGATCAGCTGCCTCTTGCACATCCTCTACTGGGGATGTGCCCGCAACCAAGGTACATGCCCTTGACCTTTCAGTTCTCAGGCCGACGCTCTATCTACTGAGCCAAACCTGTTTTAGCTTAATTTCTTTAATTTTTATTGGTCTCCTGTATTTGTTTTTGTGTTTTGTTGTTTGTGTGTGGTTTTGTTTTGTTTTGTTTTGTTTTGTTTTGGATGGGGGATTGTTGTTGTTCATCCACATCATCTAGGTTTTCAAGTTTGTTTATGGATTATTTTTATTATAGTCTTAAATTTAATTTTTAGTGTAGTCTTACTTTTAAATCTTTGTTGTCTCTTGATCAAGTTATATCTACTTGTGTAGTCTTGTATTCTTGGCTAAATACGTAGGCATATATGTGTGCTTGGAAGTGTATGAGTGTGAGTGTGCATGTACTCAAGTGTACAAGTGGGTATTTGTGTGAGTGAATCAAGGAACATGAAATAAAGTCAAAAATTTTTATAGATTTCATTTACCTTTTTTTCTATTTTCCCTTCTACTTTAGGTTCCTATGCTGGAGCTGTGATTGCAATGCCTTTAGCTGGCATTCTTGTACAGTATACTGGCTGGTCTTCAGTATTCTACGTCTATGGTATGTTACATTTCTATACACTAGAGTTCAAAGAAATCTGCATAAGCTAAAACAATGAGATAGGTCACTAAATGTAACTTCTGTGTTTACTTACTTATTTTTCCCTTATTAAGAATTGTTTCCTTATATTCTGAGAAGATCAAGGAAAATGTTCTTCCTCTATGATTTTTCCTACATTGTTATGTATTGTTTTAAAAAGCAAACACATTGCTGATGGAAACTTTGTGATGTATGATGTATATTGCCCCTTGAGTATGAATAATAAAATTAAGTTAGCTCTCAAGTCAAAGCTGAATAAGAGGAAAGAATGAGGAAGCCCCCACTTTTCTTTCTTACTACTGTTTCCTTAATCATTTCTCTGATCTTGCCTCCTCAAGACTGAATAAGGTTAGAGCTAGACGGCGATAGTAATGCTAAAAAAAAATTTAATTTTGTGGAGAAATATTAGTAGTCCCTTGCAGCAGTAGCATATTTGAGTCCTAATTTCTTTTGCATTAAAGGAGATTGGGCCCCAAATGGAAATAAAAAGTATGACAAGAAGCCCTAAATTCAAACTCCCTTTCTGCTTACTTTGTAACGAGAAGCTGAAAACTTATCAATGAAAGTCCCCCTACAGCCTCTCTCTGAGAGACACTTTTATAACAGTGAGGAAAGGGAAAACATAAGAAAGCTGGATTCCAACTGATATTGTCATTGATTAATACCATCTCTGAGCATGAGCTTGAGAACCTGAAAGATTAATGAAGCCATGTAGTTGAGCAGAATAGTTATCTGGCTGTTTCCAAATCTGTTGCGAACCATTTCCATTTTGAAATGTTGTCATCAGAGCAAACCCTTATGTTTGTAGAGTGTTATTAAATATACTTTACAGGAGGGGCTCTTAGTCTGGCTCAAAAGCCCTGGATGGCTTTTGCATTTATGAGTTCCCTAAATCAGTGGTCAGCAAACTCATTAGTCAACAGAGTCAAATATCAACAGTACAACGATTGAAGTTTCTTTTGAGAGCCAAATTTTTTAAACTTAAACTTCTTCTAGCACCACTTCTTCAAAATAGACTTACCCAGGCCGTGGTATTTTGTGGAAGAGCCACACTCAAGGGTCAAAGAGCCGCATGTGGCTCTCGAGCCTCAGTTTGCCGACCCCAGCCCTAAATTATAAGCCATGCATGCATTTGTACATTGTTTTTCCTGGGGAGATCATTTTATCAGATTTTAATCTATATCTTTCATAAGATTTTCAAGACTTCATAATTCAAAGAAGTTTAAAGCATTTATTTCTAGGGTGTAGAGTACAAGTGGGAGGGCCATCCATTAAATCCTCTGATATGTACCTAGTCCATTACTTGATTGAAAACATGGTGTGGCTTAAAGTAAGGAGACTAATTTCCACAAAGTGTGTATGAGAATCAGCCACATTATTTAAAGTTATAACTTATTTTATGTTTATCCTTGAATGGTTCAAAGTTTAAATATTAGGTAATCTGAAAATATCCTATCATAATACCTGCTCAGTTGCTGTGTATACCAAAATTTGGTTCTTTGAGTCACACATTTAATATTGATAATTTAAAACTCAGTAAGATAAGATTTGTGTAGCGACTAAGTTTAAAAAAGATAATGCATACAGGGTGGGGCAAAAGTAGATTTACAGTTGTTCTTATGGGAAATAATACACTCATTAATAAATAACACCAGGATAAACTACGTTTCAGGTAATTACAACTGTAAACCTTCTTTTGCTCCATCCTCTAAAAAGCAATTAGCTGCATATCTGGCACTTCAGATGCATTCAGAGAGGAGTAATGGTAATTATTTCTAATCACAAGAGCTCCCATTTATTGAATTCTTATTTTCAGCTCTCCATTGTGTTAGTGGCTTTGTGCATTATCTGCCTTAACTTTTCTTTGCCACAATCTCATAAAAAATGAATTATTATCTCATTTTACAGTGGAGGTTTAGAGAGATTCAGTTCCTGATCAGATTATGTAGCTAATGAGTGGCATAGTGAAAATTTGAATCTGGGAGAGCCATATTCCATAACCAGTACAATATATTGGATTTTCACTGTCATGTTTAGTAATTGAAAGAAGCTTGGCATATCAGAAACTATGGTACTAAGGGACACTGAGAGACTGAGCAAGAAAAGAATAAAAGGTATATGGGATCAGGGATTGTTGCCCAAGGGAAAAAGGACAGTTTGAGGCAAGAATGAAATGGCCAGCTGCTAGGAAACAAGAATAAATCACTTGAAATTCTTTGTATTATTAATGTGTCCAGTTTATATCACAGAAATAAGGGCATGTTTAATCATGAAAGAGATAAATAAAGAAGGGGATGAAAAGAACTTGCAAGCAGTCTATTGTTCTGGAATTTAAAATTTTCATCTGCCCCTCCAAAATGATCCATAGGCAATAGCATGTCCTGAAAATAAAACGGTGTTCAGTCACATAAAGTGGGAAATGTTCCTATATAAATCACAGAAGCCCATTCTTAAATTTTTAAATTATTTCACCCACGGCTGAAATAATTTTCTATATTTTATTTAGTAGTCTGTTTTCTAGATCTGGAAAGGCTATCAGAAGAGGAAAAGGAGCATTTTTCCCCTTTCTGGAAATGCAGTTGTATATTCAAGAAAGGCCAATAACAAAAGGATTAACCTCATAGAATTCTTTGACGATGGGGGGGTTTTGTCTTGTTCCTCATATTTCTGACCCTTAACAGAGTGTCTGGGAAAGTCACTTCTCGATATATATTTGTTGGATGGGTGAATGTGTTCCAGACACACCCTTCAATAATGATTGGTAGTGAGTTTCTTGTGTAGCAGCATTACTCATAGAGACAAAGAGGTAAACCCAGGACCAGCCTTCAGGAAGATTGCAGTCTGGTGGCAAAACACAAGAAGAGATGACAAAAGTCAGTTGTAGAAACATAAACGTGAATTCACATTTTATAGACTATGATTGTCATGAGATTTTTTTTTTTGTAGTGTTATTTCAGTAAATGACTGTTAAAAGGAAGTATTTATAATTGTTTTCTTTGACTTGCTCCTTTTGAACTCTTGCTTGCAGGAAGTTTTGGAATGGTCTGGTACATGTTTTGGCTTTTGGTGTCTTATGAGAGTCCTGCAAAGCATCCTACTATTACAGATGAAGAACGTAGGTACATAGAAGAAAGCATTGGAGAGAGTGCAAATCTTTTAGGTGCAATGGAAGTAAGAACTTTACTATGATGTATATTTCTACTCCTATTTTCCATCTCATCTCCCTTCAACCAATCAAATTATTTTATGCGTCCCTATTCAACAAAACTAATTTGGTATCAATCATGAGTATTTTCTTTACTTCATCCATATTCCCTGATATACATGGGAATTATTGCTATCATTTTTTTCTTTATCTTTGTTAAGTAGTTTCAAATTTGCCCTGTGTTATAGCTATGACTATAAAGCTAAGTGAATTTTTAAAAACAGCTCAATATGGTCCATAATTTAAACAAATTCAACCAATAGTTAATTTTAGATTGTAGGAAATGCCAAATCACCTAATACAGTCGTGGACAAGGAAATCTTTTTGTTCATTAAATAGTCTAAATGTAGGTTTCATACATATGTATTTATATTACATGTGGTTTAGTAAATCATAAAGCATTATAATGCTGATAACAGATAGCTGATGTGAAAATATTCTTAACATAATCCTTTTATTGATATAATCCATTTTCAGGATCATTGTTATGGAGAGCATTATATAGATAATGTTCTAAAGCTCTTTTTCTGATTTTGATTTGGTTTCTTGGACAGGATCTGCCTATAGAGAGTGAAATGAAGTTATATGTCAATAATGCAACTATTTTAGTACATGTGACTGACATTAATAATTCATAAATAGTAAGTAGTAGATGGTCATATGATACTATGATCTAGTAAACTAAAAGTCATGTATTTAGACAGGTTTAGTAACTCAGCATTTAATCAGTAACTCAACTTCCTGATGTTGAGTAGGAAAGTAACATTCACTGGCTGAGGAACCAATGCCCCTTATACATTATGTTTCTCTTTCCTACATTCAAATTGTATATTATTCCAGCTCTGTTTCTCTACTTCATTTGTTAAAGAAGGCCTGTCTTTGACATCTCATTCTAGGTAAAAGGTCAGCCGCCCATTGTTACTAAGGACATGCATCTTGACCTTTAATGAATAAGAAAAATTCCATGTTGGATATTATCCAGAAGTTAAACTTCAGTATTTAAAAGCAATCCTTATATTATAGTTGTTCCATGAGCTAAGTAAATTGGCATTTAAAACTGTCCCCTTCCTGTTTCCTTCTGTAAATGGATTGATAATTTCTTTCTAGTGGTGGCTACTCAAAAGATAGGAGGTTATGTGGGGGTGGAGTGGGTATTGGCAGTTTGCTCTGGAATTTCTATTCCCACCAGCCACAGTTGCTGTGAGCAGAAGCTAAAAGTAGGTTGATTTGAGCTGAGTTCAGAATTTAGCTTCAATTTCTGCTCAAAACAACCTGATCAGCCTGTGTCTTCATTAATGAAATGTGCTTCTTTTATTTACCAGTTTTTGAGATACTGTGTGTCTAGATCAGGCATAAATTTTCTGAAACAACCCCCAAAAGAACAGGAAGATTCATAAAAGAACATAATCTCAAAATTCCCATTTTCTATAACTCACTGCTTTTCTAAACATAATTTTTTTATGACTTATCGATTTTTTATGCTTTAGCTTCAAGGTAAATTATTCAAAATGAGATCAGGTGGTGAAAGAACATATGTAGTGAACAAATTTAATATGGAAGAAGAGCCATGTACCCACTGCATACTTGCAACAGTTGTTAACATCTTGTCTTCTTATTTCAGTTTTTTTCTGAATAATTTCAAAGTAAATGAGCTGTCATAAACCTTTATTCATGAATATCTCACGTATATCTCTAGAAAATAATATTTTCTTTCAGAATTTAAATACTATTATCATACCTAACACAATTAAAAATAATTTCCAAATATTATTTAATAATAAGATATTTAAAATTTCTAATATTCGGTGCAAATTCCAATACCTAGTCTATGTTCATATTTCTTTTATAGCTATTTGTTTTGAGTATGGATCCAATTAAAGATCACATACATTGCAGCTGACTATAATGTTTCTTAAATCTCTCTTTAAAATAATTAAATATAACATATATACAGAAAAATGAACAAAATCATAAGCAAATAGCTTGCTAAATTTTAATAAACTAAATACACCTGTGTAGCTGTAGAATGTTATCAGAATACCATAAAAGCTCCTGCAGCCCCTAACCATGTTTCAAGGTATGAAATTAGATACTTTTCTCTTAGGTTTGATGAAGTGTTTTGCAACCTGAAGAATAAAGTCCTTCAGGGTCCTGATGTAAATAAAAGAAATATCAGTCAAGCAAGAAAAAGTTATTTACTTCTAATAATATTCTAAACTTATTTCTCTTATAAATATCTATAATGCAGACATTCCTTATTCGGCCATTTTTATTATCAGTGAATATTTTTCCAGAACATATTGAATTAAAGGAGGGGGGGAAAAACTGCACTTTTTGAACCCATCTATAATGCTGACACTTAACATTTTTTATCCAAACCCATAGAACTCATTATATATTATCAGGATGGGCTTTTGTGTCGTTTTGATTCTGTTTTTCTATTATATATTATATTTGTGATCATCACAGTATAGCATCCCACTATTTTGCTTTAAAGGGACCTTTAAAAAGATTCATTAGAATAACAATCAATAATAGCAATGATGGGATTCTACATCCAGAAATAATTACTAAATCTGTGTAAAAGCATGTTTGCCTCCTCTTCTTTAAATTTTAAGTTTTTATTAAATGTATTGGGATGACATAAAATTACAGGTTTCAAGTGTACAATTTATATTGCATTGCTTACCACCCAAAGTCAAATCTCTTTTGGTCATCATACACTTCATTCCCTCTACTCCTCCTCACCCTCCTTTCCTCATAGACACAGACAGTAGTAACCACCATACTATTGTCTGTGTCTACGAGTTTTTGTTTGTCTTTTTTGTTGCTTTCAGTTTTATATCCCACTGATGAGTGCCTCCTCTTTTATTCATTTGGTTAGGTCAAGGATCCCAAGATAGGATTAAACACAATTATTTTAGTTTATTGATTTTTCGCCAAACAGTATTTTGGAGTTCAAAGTAAAGTAATTGAAAAGTGTTTGAACATATGAGAGACTATGGTGTAAAAATTAGTCTTGGGGGAGGATACTTGTACATTTGGGCAAACACAGAATCTTTAAGTATACCGGATGCAATTTTTAGTAGATATTATAAGCAAAGCCAATCATATTTAGGTTTTTAATTTTGAATTTCTTGAATATCATAAATAACTACGGTCAGTCGTGTGTCATTTAATGACTGGATATATTTTGAAAAAAAATGGTATTAAGTATTAGTTGTGCAAATATCATAGAGTGCACTTACACAAACCTAGATGGCATAGCCTACTACTGTAATTGTATGTGCAATATTCTTCTTTTATATCCTTATCCAGAGATTTTTATTGACCTTTAAGAGAGAGAGAGAATGTGAAAGAGAAAAGTCACATGTGCCCTAACAGAAGATCAAACATGCAATCTGGGTATGTGCCTTGATTGAAAATTGAACCTGTAACCTTTTGGTGTACAGGATGATGCTCCAACCAACTGAGCACCATTCAGGGATGTGCTATATTTTTATATGACTATCAGTGCAGTAGCTTTATTTATATGAGAATCTGTAAACATGTGAGTAATGTATTAGGCTCCGGTGTCACTAGGCAATAGGAATTAATTTAGCTCTATTATAATCTTATATGACCACATAGTATATCTGGTAAACCATTGACCAAAATGTTGTTACGAAATGCATGACGTAGTTATGATGTGCACATGGTATGCTGGGTTAAAGCCAAATGTTTTAACCAAATGTACATCATGTGACTTTTATAGAGCCTTGCACTCCAGTGTCACAGAATTGGTACTGATATCTATTGACTAGCAAAAGTGTTTATAGATAAGTAGTGGTATCATCATCTTTAGGTAGGGTCTAGATTATTGCACTCTTCATTTTTCTCATTTTAATTTTTCTAAGTATATTAAATTTTTTATATTCTAGACAAAATATTTTGGACACCAACAAGGTCACTGGTTTGAATAACAACAAGGTCACAGTGAGTTTTAGCTAAGGCATGATCTTATCACTGCAAAAAAGAAAGAAATCTTAAAAACTGAGATCTGTGCTTTTGGAATAATTTTTATATTAATACGGAATCTTGTATATCCCCAACACTGAAACAATTTAATCAAAATACAAGGCTAATATATTTTTTCTCTTCTAATGATTATTCATATAACTAAGGTTAACTGGACAGTTGCAATTAATGACTAGCTACTTCTTGTCTACCTCCCACTCATGTCCCAACATACATATCATAAAAATGCAAAGCTCCTATCATTCCCATGTAAGTTAGAATATATTTTAAATGGTCAGAATGGCTCTCTCTTTGGGATTTCAGAAATTCAAAACTCCATGGAGGAAATTTTTTACATCTATGCCAGTCTATGCAATAATTGTCGCAAATTTCTGTCGAAGCTGGACTTTCTATTTATTGCTAATTAGTCAGCCGGCATATTTTGAGGAAGTCTTTGGATTTGAAATCAGCAAGGTATGTAAAAATTATCTTTGTGTAACTAGTGCATAATTTTTGTATTTATGTGACTATTAAGTTTCTTTATCAAGATTTTATCTTCTAGATATCATGAGTTATTTATAGATCCAGTTAATAAGTAATTTCTGGAGAACAAAAACTAAGCAAGATGTTTATCTATTGCCTTTAAATATCTTCTAGAATCTGCTATCTTTTTTTTTTTTTTTTGCAAGGAACACAGACAAAAGAGACCTACTCTCTGCCCACTCAGAGCTTACATCTCAGTTGGGGTGGGCAGCAGTGTTGCCTTCTCTCTGCAATTAAACATAACTTCTTTTTAATGCTCACCAGAGGATATGGTTAGAGGAAGGCATGGAGGGAGGGAAAGGAGAGAGAGAGAAAGAGAGAGAGAGAGAGAGAGAGAGAGAGAGAGAGAGAGAGAGAGAGAGAGAGAGAGAGAGAGAGAGAGAGAGAGAATATTAGAGCGAAACATCCATCAGCTGCCTCCTGCACAGACCACAGACCCCAGGGCAGGAGGTGGTGGGAGGGGAGCAGTGGGGGAGGATTTGAGCCTGAAACCCAGGCATGTGCCCTGACTGAGAATCAAACCACAACCTTAAGGTGCACAGGATGACTCCAACCAACTGAGCCACACTGGCCAGCCAGGGCAAACATAACTTCTTTTAAATATATCAGAGACTATGTAACAGTCAATGAAAAAGTACTTCATTAAGGTGGAATTGCTATTACCAATCAAACTCTTCTTCAATAATCTCAGAAATTTGGTTAAAATTTTTGAGGATAACAAAAACATATCTGGAAACATGCTTATATGGTTTCTCCAATTTATTCATTTGACAAGCATTTGTTGAACATGATATGTGAAATTTTGTGTTAAATTCAGAAATAAGAATGTTTTCTGTCCTCAAGAATTCATAGCTTGGTGGTGTAGACAAAAAAAAAAAAAAAAAAAAAAAAAGGAAGTTACCAATTGCAGCACAGTATGCTAAATGCTATTAAATAAGTGTAACTATCACCATTTCTCTTGAACTGATGTAGACCCAGAAGCTAGGGATGGTATTTAAATTGCCTGAAGCCAAGCTGGTAATAAATGACAGAATCAACTTTAAGCCCAGATCCTTTGACTGTTTCAGTTCCCTCTAATGTGCCATTCAAATTCAGGTAAACCACATATTAACTTAAGCATTTAGCAAGTATTTGTTGAATGCCATCTCTGTGCCAAGCCCTTTGCTGAGTCCAGAATACACTTGCCTGTGCTAGCAATGGACTTGCCATTTCTCTTCATGTCATTACCTAAATCCAGCTGGGCTCACTATTCATATTATGCCTCTACTTGAAAGACTATCTGAGGCCTGGAACTGAAGGAAACCTGAGTTAGGAGTAGCTATTCTAAGAGCCCTTTTGTAATCCCTGTTTCTAAGGAAACTGTCTCCTCCATTATTGAGGGGAATAATGCTGCTTTAGAGAAGGCCCTTCTCCCTGTAGCTGATCAAACGCTGCAGAGTAGCCTTTGGGAGCTCCGAGAGGTGTTATACTTCTCAACAAAGGCTGCTGGAGGTGTGAGTCCATTTTCCTAATCTAGGCCAACTATGACACTGAGAGGCTATTAATAAAATCAGGTCTCCTGGGGGAGAGTGAGGGAACCAACTGATGTTAATGAAACCACATGGTCATTCTGGCCCTGGAGCTCCAATTAATAGAAAACGCGTGAGTGAAAACAATGGCATTTTACAACTAAATATAATAACCAGGTGGGTGGATTTGATTCACTTATTATGTGTTTAAATTATGGATAAATTTTACACACACAGATTGGCTTGATGATTTTGATGATATGGGTAACAACAACAAAAAGACTCTTGACTTCCCTGAAAAACATGTAAAGAAGGTGATGGAGGAAATAGATCATGGGCTTTGGATCTAGGCTGACATGATGCAGGAACTAAACTCCACAATAAACTATCACAATGATAATATAAAACATTTCTATCCAAAGTGAAAGAGAGAACTAAATAGCTTGGACATTTCACCTATTTTTAGAATCATTCACCATCTTAATTAATCATCCAAACAACCCAAGTCTTTGGTCATTGGTGTCACATTATATGCCTTGGAAAATAAAATACAATCTTTGTCTCAAACCTTCAGTAGTCTAATTTGAAAGACATAGTTAATAATAAACTTATCCAGCACTTGTCAGGAACTGTGCTTCAAAGTATGCATAGTAAATAACCTCCTTCTATGTTTATATTTAAAATGTACTAAATCCACATGTGATAATACATAATTAAAATTCATTTTATTTATATTTCTTGCTTCCACAATTTCTACAGAGTAGTTCCTTGCACATAATGTGAATCACTCTGTGATAAGATTCAAGGTAGCTTATTTATAAATTCAAAATTTACTGACTCTCATAGGACAGAAGAAAAGTATTCTCCTCCGGAACACAAAAAGGGATCCAAATAAAATTACTTAGCTTTTCTCATTTATTCTCAAGTTATTACTTATTCTAGGAGTGAGTAAGTGGTCATTTGGAGACAGAATTCTTCCTGCCTTTTCCCATGAAGAGTTTTATAATGAGGTTCCAGAAAATCAAGACCATTAAATGGCCCACATTACTTATGATCGTGTATATTTCTCCCCTCTTGTTACCAGGTTGGCATGCTGTCTGCTGTGCCACACTTAGTAATGACAATTATTGTGCCTATTGGAGGGCAGATTGCAGACTTTCTAAGAAGCAGGCAAATTCTTTCAACTACTACAGTAAGAAAGATCATGAATTGCGGTGGTAAGTTCCTATGTGATATTAAAAACCTATTTTTAGTTGTTGAAGTTATAATCTGCATAAGTAACTTTTTCTAATCATATCAAATATGCTGTTACATTTGTGTCTTCATTGTTCATTTATAAATATTTTCCTATCTTAACTTTAGATTTTCATAATTCCTATTTTTAAATAACTGCATAACTAACTTGACCCTTGCCACCATTGAAACTTAAGGTTGCTCTTGATGTTTTTATTCAGCACAAGGAAGGTTTCAGGTGTATAAATTATTAGTATTATTATTGTCATTTTTAGGATAGACTGCCAGAAGTGGTTTGTAAGGACATTTTTAGCTCATTGGAAAAAATTTACACAAATTTCTGAAGTGTTTTTCATGTTTTTGTTTCTGAAGGTTTTGGCATGGAAGCAACCCTGCTCCTGGTTGTTGGCTATTCTCATACTAGAGGGGTAGCTATCTCATTCCTGGTACTTGCTGTGGGATTCAGTGGATTTGCTATATCTGGTAACATACATTTTTAAAATTTGTACTTGTGACATCTCATTTTGGCTAGTGATAATAAGATGATCTATCCATCTATCTCCATATATTCTACTTTCCTATTTGAATATTTTGACTAGAAAATGTTTACTCATCATATTTTCACTAAAAATTAAATTAGAAATAATAAAACATTTAAAATTCATTACTGAGACTTGTTACTACTCACTTTCCCCCTTCTTACTCTTTTTACTTAATTCATTTATATTTTTGATTATGAGAACATATCTCCTTCTGTGTCATAAGCATCACATATTAAGCATAATATAAGAAAGTATACCTCATTTTATTCTCATTATATCCCTGAGCTAGATTAGCAAAAAGTAGTTAGTAAGCACCTGCTGTGTACCTAGTTCTTTTAAGGAGGGTGGCGAATATGGTAGAGAATATTTTATAGGCACTTCTAAGAGGCTTGAAATTCTCTGAGTTAAAGATTCTACATGTATTTCAGGTTTCAATGTTAACCACCTGGATATTGCTCCAAGATATGCCAGCATCTTAATGGGCATTTCGAATGGTGTTGGCACATTGTCAGGAATGGTTTGTCCTATCATTGTGGGTGCAATGACAAAGAATAAGGTAAGATGGAACAAAAGAGATGATTAGTTGTAAAATATTCACTTTTATGGTTGGGGAAAGGGTTAATATATTCTCTTTGGCATTTCTTTTATGGACTACTCCCCACACTTCTAGGTAGGGGAGATGATTGAGGCTCAGAAGAAAATATCTAAGAACTCTGAGTGAGCCCTCTTTCACAACCAATAAGCACCATGCATCTCAACACCTTGTAATATTTCTGAGGCCTCTGCTGTAGTTAACAAATAAAACCTTCTGCTTCCAGCTTATTAAAATAGGCAAGCAGAAATCTTCTGAGCTTTTTTTTCCAAACCTCAATCCAGACCCCTCTACAGTTGTCAGTGGAAGAATATAATTATCAGCTGCTTGTCCTTATGTATAGAGCTTCAAAATTATGGTTTACTAGAGGAAAATAAATGAGTGAGAAAAAAATATTAAGCAAATCAATGACAAATATTGTTAAAAATAGCCGACCACAGATATACTTGGAATTATTTCATAACATTAGATTTAAATTATCTTTAAAGTAATGAAAGTTACAGTATTATAGAAAGTTTCAAGATTTGCTTCAAGTCACAAGCTTTGCTTCATAGAATCAGGAAGAGGGCTTTCCCCTACATTTAGCATTTTATGGAAAGCACAATAGTAGTAGAGAAGATGTCTCATACATGGGGAGTTTGTTCTCACATGGTCACTTTTGTCCCTGCAGTCACGCGAGGAGTGGCAATATGTCTTCCTGATTGCTGCCCTCGTCCACTATGGTGGAGTCATATTTTATGGAATATTTGCCTCGGGAGAGAAGCAACCCTGGGCAGACCCTGAGGAAACCAGTGAAGAAAAATGTGGGTTTATCCATGAAGATGAACTCGATGAAGAAACAGGGGACATTACTCAAAATTATATCAATTATGGTACCACCAAGTCTTACGGTGCCACAACACAGGCCAATGGAGGTTGGCCAAATGGCTGGGAAAAGAAAGAGGAATTTGTACAAGAAGAAGGACAAGACACATACGTCTATAAGGACCGAGATGAGTATTCATAACAAAACTAATTGCTGGATTTATTTTTAGTGTCTGTGATTAACTTGATTGTGATTGCACAAACATTTTTAAAATATGTGGTGTGAACATGTAAACATATCAACCAGGCAAGTCTTGCTGTAAAAATGAAATGAAAACAAACTCATGAAGTTACCATCAAGTGCAATCTGTAGAAGTTGTGAAATCCCATCTTTCCCATCCAGGTCATCTATTCTTGCATTTGTGCTTTCAAGGTTGACTGATCAAAAACTGTAGAAACAAGTAGTTACTCATTGGATTTATATGAGCTAAAACTCACCACCATTTAATAAAGCACAGCTAAAACAGTTGGCACGTTTTATCCTACAAAAGTTAGGAAGCCAAAGCTACTTGATCATGTCAAATGCACTTATATATTTGTTACACTGTATTGCAAGCTCTCACGCAGAAGTCGTGTTAAAAACAAAAAAACAAAAAACAAAAAAACAAAAAATACACCAAAAGTGTAATGCTGTCATGTTGGCTGCCACAGATGTTGACAATGTTTATTGGATGTAAATCATGAAGTTGTAATATCTCTCAGAGAAGAACATTGTGGCCTAGCTTTAGCAAGGCATACTAAATAATTATTGTTATTACATAATGTGAGCTATTTTGTTGGTTATCAAAAGGAATGTCTTGCAGTGGTTTATATGAAATGCTGGGCACAAACACATATCTGTGAAAGAGAACTTGTAAAGTGTGGGGTATGCTTCATGTTCTTCCATTCATTTACCTGACAGTATAAAACCCTTCACATTTTAATAAATCAGACTTTTCATGTAGCATATCACATAACTTTTTTGAAAAAAACAATTAGAAAAAGACTTCAATGTATTTTTATTACAACTTTGTACAGGTTGTAACTTGAATTAGGGAAATAAAAAAAGATGCACACACTATAAAGAATCTAATGATAAATTTACTATGGAAATAGAACCCTGAAAATGCAATATTAAAACAAAAGAAATAGAAAATGGCTAAGATGTTCTTCTTCCTTAATAATTAAATGCTATATAAAACTTGTGCCACAGAGCTATATATAAGAAGATAAATTTAATAGAGAGATTGTAAGTAGATAATTTTATTATTTAAAGTCCCATTTAAAATATATTTGTCTTACATAGGACAATAAATTATATTAAAATTATATCTATATATATATATCTGTATATCTTATACATATCCATACACAGAAACATAATAAACAATCTTCACACACAAAAATAGCATACACCTAAAGTTGGGTTAGGGGATAGAATTTCTACTTTCATAGAGTCATAGAATTTTAGATGGGGGCAGAGACATTTTGCTTGTCACTTCTTAATATAACTCAACAGTAATTGCAACATTTGTGTACCAAGCAATAAGTGCAATGCATAAAATTTCCTGACTGTATATTATCTTTATTTTGCTTGTGGTAGCTTTTTGGATGGTTGGAATGATTTTTCTTTTATTTTTAAAAAAATAACATCATACCTCATTTTCATTCTCTAAAATGATAATAGTGCATTTTCCAATTCAACTTAAAATATTATTGGTGTATTTAACTGTCTATTCTGGATATTTGATCTGTTTGTTGTATTGTGCTAGTGATTGGAGGCTCTGCTACTGCAAATATAAAACATAAAGTCTGTTTTAAAAATGCAAACCATATATTTTGCTTGGTGTCTCAAAGTGGTGTAATGTGAGCACAGCTTTTGTTATATTGAATGAAAATATGTGGGCTATCATTTTGTTGCTGCAAAAAAAAGTGTTAATAAAATGCTCTATTTATCCTTTTGTAAAAAAGCAGTACTTTAATTTGGGTTGATTTTATTTAGATTGTAGCTTTAATGTGAATTTAGCTTGTGTATGATCCAATGAAGCCACATCTAGGCTCAAGAAGAACATTATTTTAGTCACTTGAGATTTAATGTAGAAACATGGCATTCTTTAAATTGTGTGAGACATGGTTCTGTAGCGAGATTCTTTGTTGTTGTCTTTTTTGTTGTTGTTAATCCTTGCCCGAGGATATTTTTCCATTGATTTTTAGGGAGAGTGGAAAAGAGAGGGAAAGACAGAAACATTGATGTGAGAGAAATATATCAACTGGTTGCTTTCTGCAGAAGCCCCGACCAGAACTCATGCCAGGGAGGAGCCTGCAACCAAGGTATGTGCCCTTGATCAGAACTGAACCCAGGACCTTTCGGTCCACAGGCGGGTACTCTATCCACTGAGCAAAACCGGCTAGGGCTCACTTTTCCCCCCTCTGTGCTATTGAGTGACAGTTGCCACTTGCACAATCCCAGGGCAAGGATGCAATAAAGGGTTTTCTTTCAGTTCCAGTATTTTCACTTTTAAATCACTTTATTAATCCCTTGATTATAAATGTAGTATGGGGTTAAAGGGGACCTTTGTTAGGTAAAGAGTATTTTTTTAAAAAGTTAATCAATAATCTTGCTATCTGGATATAATCAGTGTTAAAACCATATATACAGAATTCTATATAATAAAAAGGTAATATGCAAATAGAACAAACAGTAAAACAACCAACCAATCAAAGCATAATATGTTAATGATATGCTAAGACTGCTCAACTGCTTGCTATGATGTGCACTGATCAGCAGGAGGCAGACAGTCATTGACCAACAGTTGCTATGACTCACTGACCATCAGGGGGCAGATGCTCCAACTGGTAGATTAGCTTGCTGCTGGGGTATAGCCAATCAAGACTGAGCTAGTTGGGCCAAACATGCCCTGGAGTTCTCCCCAGCCTGATTGTGCACTGGTGGGGTCCCTCAACCTGGCCTGCACCTTCTCACAATCCAGTATCCCTTGGGGGATGATGGAGAGGCAGTTTCAGCTGATCCTGCAGGACAGTCTTCTTGGGAAGGCACCATACTCAGGGCACATGGCTAGCGAGTGCTGCTGCAGCAACATGAACCCCTATCAGGAGTGATTGGGCACAAGCCCGCAGCAGACACAGTGGGGCAGGGATGAGCAGGAGCAGCAGGTAGGAGCTGCGGGTGGCATTGGACTGCGAGTTTTGGCCCAATCCCTGCAGGCCACCCAGAGGGGCCCCACCCATGTACGAATTTGTGCACTGATCCTCTAGTGTTTTTTTTAATAAAAACCACATATATAGAAAACTCACATATATTTTGTAATTTGCAAATTTGAACTTACACTTGCCCTATTATTGCAACCTACTTTTTCCATTTGACATCTCAGCATGTGAATATTTCTACTTGAGTAATAGTTCTGTAGTCTAATATTACATACCATGAGCAATGATAATGGTATTTGTTTATCCAATATCTTACATATGAATATTTCTTCTTTACACCCTTTTCTCTTTTTCTTTCTTCGTGGGGGAATGCAAAGTCACATATATATAACATTTATAACCATGATGGATATTTAAGTTACTATCTATAGTTTACTATTCCTGTGTTTGTCTGTAGAGAGTACTACTGGTTATTGGCTTTTCTGGGATTCATTCATTCACTTCTTCACTCAATAGTACAGGTGTTTATTAAGCACTGATTCCGTGGAAGAAGTCCCTGGGCATATAGTAGTGAGGAAACAGATCCAGTCTCTACCATTGTGGACCTTAAAGCCCAGGCTCCTCCTGAGGTGTTTGCAGCTGTCCAGCTGCCCAGTCAGGCCACACAGATGTGACCAACAGACTCTTTCTGGACATGCAGCCCTTGCAATTCCCCGAGGAAGGATTTTCCTTAAACCCCTAAACTTCCAAAGCTGAGCTGCTATTTCAGTGCTCTCTTGTCATTTAAAAAAAAATAGTTTCAGGTGACAATGCTTTTCTCAGCCTGAGACATCCCCATGCTGCAGGGAGGCTAGGCCTTGAGGGGAGATCAGCATCAGCTTTCTCCAGTGCCTGAAGTTGCAGGAGCCGAGATGGATGGGCTGAACTAATTAAGCACATTTCCCATCCAGTTCTTCCAATTGCTTTTGTTTCTGTTTCTTCCCTGGATTTCTAATAATCCATCAATTTTTCCTCCTTCCCCACCCCCTTTATGTACATGCTGCCTCCTTCAGCTTTAACAACAAATAGTGGCTCTTGATATTTCATTCTTACTATACTGTTATAATGATCAGGGTGAGGTTTTTTTTTTTTAAATTATTTTTCTCTCTATTCTCATGCAAGACCTCAAAATTGAATTGCCATTCAGCTGCTATCAAAAATATTTTATTGATGTAGGTTGATCTATACTACTCAGTTCCTTAAAATGCTCAAGCTTCTCTATGCTCTCCCCTCTCCACACACCTCATTATAGCCAAGCACCTAAAAGCTGCGTATTACCCTGATATATAACCCTGTCCCCATCTACATTCAGCAGCTCTTGTTGAATGAATACCTCCTTGGCTTTCACCAAGAACAGGCAAAATGAAGAGTCCTCTCTACTTTTGTTAAATCACATTTGAGGACCTGTTTTATTGCTCTGCTCAATATGCAGTAGATGAAAATCCTCGCATTCTTCCTAGGAGCTGGAAGATGTATTACAGCCCTGTCAGTAATTAGGTATGAAAGGGCCCAGGGCCAACACATCTCCTTTGTCTACACAAGAAGCTTTAGAGACACACTTTTTGGCTCAATTGCTGTTTTTCTCTCCCTTCCTCAGTTTTGTTTGGTTTCTGTTTTTTTTTTGTTTTTTTTTTTTTTTCATTATTTATTTGTTTAGTTGCTATTTACCTTTGACTTTATTTTAAAAGAGGTAGTGAATGACGGATCCAATAATAATAATAGGAATTATTCATATGTTTCATATGGTATATGAAACACCAGAAACTGTTCCCAGGGACATATATATATATATATATATATATATATATATATATATATACACACATATATTGATTTCAGAGAGGAAGGGAGAGGGAAAGAGAGATAGAAACATCAGCGATGAGGGAGAATGATGGATTGGCTGCCTCCTGTTTGCCTCCTACTGGGGGCTGAGCTGCAACCCCAGCATGTGCCCTT